TATCAATTAGGACGGTGGAAATGAAGAAGATGATGAAGATGACGAACCAATAGTTACAGTAAAGCCTACAAAGTCAACACCACATAGTGATTGGCCGAAAGCACCGCAATTCATGGATACAAATTCAGTTCCAGCTACATCCAAACAAGTTGAAACAACGCGAATGAATCAAATGATTGGTGAGTCAACAGAATCTCCAGTTGTAGTTGAAATTCCAATGAAAAGGTTAAAATCGAAGAAGAATGGAAAGAACGTCGATCAGTCCCAAAGAGTTACTTTTAAATTTGGACTTGAAGATGCAAAGTATGACGAAGCTTACGAAAGGCTAAAGAAAAGTCGAAAAATTCGTGTCAAACGATCATCAGATATAGAAACTAATGATAGGAATAAAAAAGCTTTTGTTCAACCGACTGAAGTGTTGAAATTTTCAATTCAAGACGCTGTGATAAAATCGCCATTCGAATCGGAAGATAAAGATACGAAAGAAAGTGAAATAAAAACAAGCGAGAGACTCCCGTTTCCACAACCTGAAATTAAGGAATCAATTGTGATGAGAAAATCAGTTTATTTCTACAAGAATGATGAGAATTATGATAAGAAAAATTCAATGACGTCTCCTGGTCCCGTGCTTTTTGAAGATTCAATTCCAACAACTCCTAGTCCAATGATAGTAGCACATCTCACTATGAAAACTACATTTATCATCCACCAGTTATTAGCAAGCCCATTAAATATGCAACTCCTATTGTAGAACATGTCAACGAAAGCTTTGATTATATTCCGTTGGCACCAATACAAACACTTTTCTTCATTTCATTTTAATCATTTCAGATATCATGTTTCTGATTATAAGACTGGAAACAACTTTGGTCACAAACTTTGGTCGCGTGCAGATCGCTAAATATATTGCCAATGATTCAGGTTTTCATGCTGATGTCTCATACCAAAATATTCATTAAGTTTTATCTCATTTAAGCATCGATTATGTAAGCAAAAAATCAACAAAGACAAGAAACATGTGCAATAATTAATTTGATAAGAAATTGTAATTTATAATAAAAACATGTTACCGGAAATCTTTCATTTAATTTCTCTACCATTTAATAAAAAGATAAATCAAGTGATTGGTAATGTTGGTTGCATTGAAGTATGGGGAAACAAGTTGATTCACTTTGTTGTTGTTGAAGTCACGTTCGTCTCTTCCTAGTTAGCATTTTGTTTAACATTTTTATCGCGCTAACACCTTTTGACACTCAATAATGTTAACTTTGCTNGTTACTTTTAAATTTGGACTTGAAGATGCAAAGTATGACGAAGCTTACGAAAGGCTAAAGAAAAGTCGAAAAATTCGTGTCAAACGATCATCAGATACAGAAACTAATGATAGAAATAAAAAAGCTTTTGTTCAACCGACTGAAGTGTTGAAATTTTCAATTCAAGACGCTGTGATAAAATCGCCATTCGAATCGGAAGATAAAGATACGAAAGAAAGTGAAAATAAAAACAAGCGAGAGACTCCCGTTCCAGATTCAACTCCAATGGACTCTAAAATCCACGTGACAAGTCCGATGCGTAATTATCGTTCAACTAAACACGTTTCATACGACGAGGTTTCAACTAAATTGCAGAAATTAATCGAAAGTGCACTGTTTGATGCAATTCAAAAGGGAAAGGCGACTGATGGTGATTTTCTGAAATTTTTTTATGGTGATAAAATCATTAAAGTTCCAGTGTCAATGGCAAAGTATTTAAACTTTAATAAAAGCAAAGAAACATTAACATCACATGTGACGAAGAAAGTTGTTGTTCCGCCACCGAAAGAAGAAAATACTGTCGAAGAATTGAAGCTTCTGACACCAAATAAAGCTTATTATCCAATAAGTAATCATGGAATCAAATTTGAAGCGACACCAACGTTCCTTCCTACAATTGCGACAACAACAGAAAAAGCTGAAACATATGTAAACTTTGAGTCGCCAATTTATGTTAAACCACAACCTGAAATTAAGGAACCAATTGTGATGGGAAAATCAGTTTATTTCTACAAGAATGATGAGAATTATGATAAGAAAAATTCAATGACGTCTCCTGGTCCCGTGCTTTTTGAAGATTCAATTCCAACAACTCCTAGTCCAATGATAGTAGCACATCTCACTATGAAAACTACATTTATCATCCACCAGTTATTAGCAAGCCCATTAAATATGCAACTCCTATTGTAGAACATGTCAACGAAAGCTTTGATTATATTCCGTTGGCACCAATACAAACACTTTTCTTCATTTCATTTTAATCATTTCAGATATCATGTTTCTGATTATAAGACTGGAAACAACTTTGGTCACAAACTTTGGTCGCGTGCAGATCGCTAAATATATTGCCAATGATTCAGGTTTTCATGCTGATGTCTCATACCAAAATATTCATTAAGTTTTATCTCATTTAAGCATCGATTATGTAAGCAAAAAATCAACAAAGACAAGAAACATGTGCAATAATTAATTTGATAAGAAATTGTAATTTATAATAAAAACATGTTACCGGAAATCTTTCATTTAATTTCTCTACCATTTAATAAAAAGATAAATCAAGTGATTGGTAATGTTGGTTGCATTGAAGTATGGGGAAACAAGTTGATTCACTTTGTTGTTGTTGAAGTCACGTTCGTCTCTTCCTAGTTAGCATTTTGTTTAACATTTTTATCGCGCTAACACCTTTTGACACTCAATAATGTTAACTTTGCTTTCCATAATGGCAAGTCAAAGTTTTTCAAATGCTTCTCCTCCAGTTTCCACCTATCGTTATTAAATCTTCATTGTCAAACTGCCGTTATTTACAAATAAAAATCATCTTATGAAACTTACTATTTCTCGATTTTATTACAGAAGAATATGAACTTTTGCGATCTAATATGAATTGCATAATTGAATTATTTTAAATGAGGGAAAATTCTCAAGTTCTGACGGAAAACTTCGACGAATATTATAAAACAGTTTACAAGTGAAAGTGTCAAATTTCTCGAATTATCCCTTAAAGACCAAAGCTTTTTTATTTTGCATTAAACCATTTACTGAAATGGAAACAAAAGCGGTTAATATATGTTCATGACCTTAGATGAATCAGAATCTTGAATGCATTTACAATAAACGTTTAATTGTGAAGGTTTACCTTTGAAGTTTATATGAAATGTTTTCCCCTCTTATGATCTATAAAGATGAACTTGATTAAGATCAAGCCATGATTGATTTAATTTTCTCTTTCAATGAAAATATATTTGGAATGTAATGAAATATTTCATAGCCACATTTATTCTTTTATTAGATTTTCTTCACGGTTTCTACTTTTATAACAAAAAATCAGAGTGCAGTCTTCTTTGTTTCAAAAGAATCTTTAATTTTCAGCAGCATTTCATTGTGTGACATGCAACACTTGTTCCTTTCCCACTTCGCATTTTTTCTGACTTAGAAACATTAAAGTGAGATGAGAGACATGATGTTGACTGCAGACAAGCACATTTGCTTTGTTGGATTCTTTTGAAAAATGCAAACTGCATTGTTAAATTAAAGAGAGCAAGAAATATCGAAGTTACAACTTGAATCTTCTTATTTCTCTCCGGCATGTTACATTACACTATTTCTATTGAAATACTTACTATAAAAAGATGAGAATTTTCAGTTACAAGATTATTTCACAGTAAAGCTTTGAAAAGTGCAGATCAGGAAAGTTTCAGTGGCAAGAATAAAAAAAAAGAACATGATGAAGTTAATTGTAAGTTATTTCTTATAAGTAATTAAATGACATTATGTTGTTGACAACACGATTGTTGTAACGGATTGCGTGGCATTCGTGTGTTGGCCTAAGAATTGTTTCTTCGAGTCAAACTCATTTCCATTGAAATGTGTGATTAATTAAGGAAATCACATTAATAATTGTAAAGAATACTTTGTTAATAATAACGTTTATTCTCCCTTAAGTGTTTAGTTGTATGCTTGATCACAATCATCAATAACTTGAAGACAACATCAGCACAAGGAAACAATTTATATCTCCCACCAGAAGAATCCAAACCAGGCTATGATTACAAGAAACCAAGTTCATCGCCACCGAGCAGACCATCATCTCCATCAAAACCACCATCTAATGAAGTAAGTCATGAAGAAAGAGTCTTTAACTTTATTTAATAATTCATTACTTTTTTTCTTGTGATTGCAAAGGCACATGAACCAGGAATGCCGTTCGATTTCAATTATGCTGTCAGCGATTCTGAAACAGCCAATAATCATAATCATAACGCTAACAGCGATGGAGATGTAACACAAGGGGAATATCGAGTGTAAGATTTATTTCATGCTCTGTCAATATAATTCTTGAAAAAAAAATTTTTTTTCATCTTTCTTTATGAAGTCAACTTCCTGATGGACGAACACAGGTCGTTCGATACACCGCTGATTGGAAAAATGGTTACAATGCTGAAGTCTCATATGAATAAGTCAAATTCATTAAATTTCGTTTTTTTTTCTTAAGGAATTTCGATCAATATTTTGTAGCTAAGTCAAAATGGATAATAAAGAAAATGAAAATTTTGAAAAAGATCTCAAACATTTTAAAGTTACTGAATGATTTAATCATCTAAATAACTATTGTAATATATCTATTTTTGATATTTCAATATCTTCGTCTACTTATGTGTCAAGTAGAATTTTTTATCAATGAAATCAGAAGAAAACTCTTAATTAATGCGGTCATCATCTGAAGATGAAAAGTAAGCTTCATATGAGACTTTTTTTCGGGAAAAAGATTTATGTCGTGCTATAGCATTTGCATGAATCTCTTGGTTACTTTTCTCAAAGGATGAAAATCCAATACACGAAACTGAAGATCTCAATCGTGTTTTAAAAACATTGACTCCATTATTCAACTTCTTCCTTTTGTTTTGAACTTGTGATTTTTTCTTCGTATTTTTAGACATCTTATGATCGGGATCTGATGATTCTGTCGATGAAGTTGATGTTGATGATGATGATGATGATGATGAGATGAATATGACATCAGATAAATCATCAGAGCTTTTTGTAGAAGAAGATTCGGAAGATTTTTCATTGTCATTCAGCTCAAAACTATTGTCACTTCCAATTGTTTCATTCATATTTGATAAGTATTTAAGAACACAGAGTCTTGGATTTTGTGCTCTTGTAGTAAAACAGACCTCCATAAGTTCTGTCAAAAATTCATGCATATTATGTTTCTCAACGTAGTTTTTAAAGTCAGCTTTATTTGTCTTGCAAACATTTTGATCACATTTTGTTTTCTTAAGAAATTTGAGAAAAAAAATCTTTATAATCTAAACAAAGTTTAAATATTAAATTACATTGCTCACCAAAACGTTTCTTGAAGGAATATGAACTTTTACAGTTTTCATTGAAATCGTTGATAAATGTCTAACAATTGCCATAGAATAATTTTTCAGACTGTTTTATTTGGATGTCAAGAATCAGATAAATGTTTCAGAAATGTGCAAAACGTAAACTTTGCTGATTTCCTCGAATTTGAGTACAGTTAGGTACATAACGTAGATATACAAAATATACCTAAATATTAGCTGAAGACCCCTGCATCCACCATTTTAGAACTTATTGTTTAAACAACAAGTTTAACGAGCTTTGACTGTAGTTGGTAAATCAGAAATCATTATCGAGCAAACTTTTGACTAGTTCGGTGGTTTTGGTAAGTGTTTGTTTAGGAATAAAATTTTTTTTCATTGCCATTGATTTCATTTACTCCAATCCTTTAAGTTACCAAACATCTTTATTTTTTCGTTAAATAAATTACAGTTTCTTAAAAACTAAAGATGAATTTTAAAAGCGTCATTGTCTTAACATTTCTTTTGTTGACCTTTGTCTCTGTATCTGGTGGCCCTCTCGCATACGGAATTTGTCAAACTGGATGTAATACCGTTGCCGTGGCTTGCTACTCTGCAGCAGGATTCACATTTGGAGCAGGCAAGATAAATTACTAAAGAAATAAGCACAAGCAATATTTAAATAAAATTTCTTTCAAAGCAACCTTTGGTGCTGCAGTCCCTGCTGCGATCATAGCCTGTAACTCAGCTCTAGGCGTCTGTATGGCATCATGTGTTGCTGCTGGCTGTCTTCCAACCCCATAATATAAAATGAGGAGTGTTGTTTGCATTTTAAAATGAAAATGATTGAGAACCATTGTCTTGAACATCTATCATACATATTACCTACCTAACTGTTCGGATTTAAAATCATTCGAAAAAAAAAAAATTACGAATAAAAAATAACGATCAAAAAAATTTTAAATTTTGTTTCTCTTCGCTTTGTTGTTGATAAAAATTCAAAGCTTTGTAAATTGATGTCAATCTACGAGTGACTCCCCAACTCGAGTTGAATTCGGAAATTTACTAATTCTTGCACAAAAAGGTTAGCGTAAGTTCTTAATACAGTTTATTATTGCCTAAAACTATATGCAAGAGTGGAATAGTAAGAAGAGTTGTCTTTAAATACTGGATTGAGTTTAAAATTCGAAATTTTCATTCTTTTAGAAGCCGACAAGCAAATGGAGTCATCAGCAGCGCTAACAAATACAATCAACAATGAAAATCAATCTGAAATAAAAGGAAATGGCAATCTTAAAAGAAAACATGGAATACATGGAAGTTCAGATGATGAAAATGACTTCTTGGGCTTCGATCAAGGTAAGATCCAGACATGAATGAAAATTGTCCAGCCATCATTGAAATTTAACGTCAATTTTTCCAATTTTAGCCGAGCAAACCGACAGTCAACATATGATTCAAAATATCAAAAAAATTTGTACGGACTCTTCATCGGATGAAACAACACCGAAACGACTACAAACAGCACATAATCGTTCTACTGACATCACAGATCCAGTCTTTAAATTACCATTCAAATATGGTTGGAAGCGAGAACTTGTAAGAAATTAACAATTTACTAAATTCATTCACCTCGTTATTTCTTCACTCTTATTAAAGGTTTTACGAGCTGAACCTACTAGGAGTAAGGAAAAAGGTGAAGTTTATTATATCACGCCCACCGGAAAAAAGTTGCGCACACGTCAAGAGATTGAGAACAATTTACACGATGACCTCACCATTGATAACTTTACATTAGTGAAAGTAGCCATTGGCGCTGGAGACGATGAAATTATTCGACCTGCAAAATTCTACAATTATTCACGTCGTTCTAATGTTGATCCGGTTGTGGCTGAAGCAACTGCAATGCCAATAGGAAAGCGTGTTCCAAAGCCAAAACTACCGAAAGGCGCAAGTCCTCCTCCGTTATCAAGCTATCCATCTACTCCAACCACAGCGTTAACTTCACCGACATTTACTGGCAATCCAATTAAAAGTATTTCAATGAAGGAAAATATTCAAGCCAGCAGTAAATCGCCTGTTCCAGTTCGTAAACCAGCTGTTAAAGGAAAACTAAAGTGAGTATATTTAATTTAATTAAAAAGTTAGTATATTTGTGAGTTGCGGTTGATGATGCTAAGTTTAGATAAAGCAGAAAAAATTAGAAAAAGAAAATCGTTTGATATTAATCCTCAGAGGTGATGTGCGTTGCACCATTCAGTGTCCATCAGCATTAGGAAAAATTCCTCAATTGCAATGTATAGTTTGCCTCTGTCTCTATCATCCCGAATGTGCTAAAAAGTCGATCGCGGATATCGAAAGTGGAACATCGTTTACATGTGAGGTAAAAGAAAAAGTCGCGAATCGTGCCGTGCTGTTAAATGTTCTCGGTTCTCATTTCTTGACTTCTTTTTGTAGAATTGCAATTTCAAATTTACAAAAGCAGCGCAAAATGCGCCGGCGATGACAAAAAAGCATCATCAGTCGCAACCTACAACCACAGAAGCTTCACATAATTTTGAGAAAAATCCTCAAACGCTTGTTACACTAAATGGCAAGAAATTTATTGTTTACGAAACGGATTCAAGTAATGGAATAGGAAAGAAGGTTCCAAATCGATCGTAAGGAGCACTTCATTACGTTTCTTTAATTCTTTATACTAAATTTTCTTCTGTTTTTCTTTTATTTTTCAGAATCATACAAAAGCCTTCAGTTGTTAATACGAATCGAAGTCAATCTGTATCATCAAGCGTTGCATCATTTTCGCCGTTTAATTTTTCAGAACATTTCTTGCGCAATGTGTCACTTGGCTTTGATGTTCTTCTTCACACTTTTCAATATTTGAAAGTTCAGGAATTACAACGTGCAAGTCGTGTTTGTCGCATGTGGAATTTGGCAGCTCAAAGCAGCATTTTATGGCGTACAGTAAGAATGAAGAATTCACATGTCAATGATTGGGAAGGCTTTGCACGAACACTTCAAAGAAATGGAACAGTTCATTTGGATTTGCGTAAGATTTTAATGGGAAATCAAGAAGAAGCTTGGCGAAGCTTTTCCAACTTTATCTCTCGTGTTGATCAACTGCAGGGTATTGACTTGTGTCGTTGTGATTCGATTGTTGTTGAGAACTTATTTGTAAGCAATCACAATTTGCGATGTATCAATGCCTTATCGATTAAAGATGAAGCTTTGAACATGGAAGGCTTACGCAATCGTCAAACGATGCTTGAAGAAATGAGAATTCGAGCACATGGCAACGGACTAATTTTGAACAATTTTGATTTCAAACCTTTGATTAATGTTCGCCATTTAACATTAACAACAATTGAGAATCTTCCTTCTCTCCTTAACGATAATGCTCAACTTCGTGAATTGATTGCTCTTGAATCGCTTGAACTTGGCTTCTGTGATCAACTTAATGATGTTCAGTTTGCTGGCAATTTAAGCTTTCTACAGAAACTTCAGAGACTGAGAATTGAAAAAGGATCGCAAAATTTCAACGTAAATAAAGTTCTCGATGTCATTGCAAAGAACTTACCTGGACTTGTACAGCTTGAATTGATAAATTGTGACATTAAAAACGATTTCGTTAGTTCGATTAAGCAATGTCGTAACATTAAACGTCTTCTATTGATTCCGACTTATGTAAGTCAATCTGCTGCAACAAATTTCATGGTAATGGACGGCGTCATGCATTTAACAAGTCTTGAAATAATTCATTGGATAGTGACAAATGAATTGTTGCGTGTTACTGAACTTTATCAATCGGAAAATCGTCCGGAGAAAGGAAAAAAATCACCGGAAAAGTCGGGAAGTGGAACATCGTCGCCAGTAAAAGCAAAAGATTGCATCCCAGTTTTAAAGCCAGTTCCAGGGAAAGAAGACACTGATGATGGTGATGCAAATATCCAACAAGTCGAAATTGTTGCTCTTAAAACTGTCGAAGCAATTTTACAGAAACGATTACCGAAAACAACTGTGAAGTTGTTGAAAATCTCTAATCACTTTACATGGCGTCAGGTCATTGATTCTGTGTGAATTATATTAATTTCCTAGTTAGAGATTGTCGGATTTACATCATCAGTGCAAAAACAAGACTCACAACAATAAACAATTGCACACGATCAACAGAAACAAAATTAAAATTCACATCTCAGCTTATAAATGAAATTTAAATACTTCTTAAGAGATTTATTGTAAATTCAAATTCACATTTAAATTCCATGAAATAAAGAAAATAAAAATGAAAAAGGAAGAAATTTAATAAAACATAGAAATTTACTCCACTTTAGGACTCAACTTTCCGTTGTCTTGTTACGTAGCGACGATTGTGAGTACGCGACGATTCTAATATTAGCTCTCGTTTCTTCATCGTAATTTAAAAGAAAATTCAAAAATCAAGGGTCAAAGCCGTATAAGTTTACCCTTATGAGCCCATATGTTAATGCACATAAAATATTTATAGTTTCGCCGGCTATGAGAAGAAAAATAAAATTTCTGTCGTCGCTCGTTGTGATGTGTCTCGGTTGAAAATGTTTGTAAATCGGTAAAAAAAGAAACGCTATATGAGGGCATTGGTGTTGAACAGTTGAAGATCAAGAGAAAATAAAATTTTCCATTACAAGAATTTCAAATCTACATTAGTTTGTTATTTTTGTACAATCAAATTCTAACTCAGTTTTCATTCAACCCCAACGTCCCTTCTCCAGTATCTCGCTTCTACACACAGTTTATTTTGTTCATCACTCTACTTGCCTTGTGTGGCTTAAACACACAAAAAAAAACAGAAATATACAAAAGAACAAAAATTGTTTCTCCTAAGCGATCGACTGTTCGCCTCGTCAGTATGTTTTAAGTCGTCGAACGAAGCGGTCGTGCTTTAAACTTCTCTTTTGGAAAATTTTTTTGTGTGTTGAAAAATTGCTAAGGAGAATACAACAAAAGAGAATTGAAAGAAAAAAAATATATAACCAGTGCTTTACATATATACATAGTTTTTATATTTTGTTTTTTTTATATTTTATGAAATTGAAAGTGATATAAAAGCAATTAAGAAATGTCTACTGCAATTTTACATGCTGGAAGTTTTATTCACGATTTCAATGATATTGTTTTGAAGGTATGTTATCATGGAAGTTAGTTATCATTAAACTGTTTTATCATCGTTGTTCACTATTAGAAGTTGTCTGTTCGTAGCAAAACAGCAGCAAATGAAGAAAAAATAAGTATGGAGACAAGAATTTGAAAAGCACATGTTTTGCTTCCATAATGTTTTATTATTTTTTGTTGCTTTTCGTTCTTTGTTTTATTATAAAAAAAAGAGTAAAATTTATTTCACAAACACCACATCAAAATATTAAATTAATTTGTTGTGAAAAATGTTTGCTCAACGATTTTTTTTATAATGACGATGATTATAAGTAATTTAGATAATAGGATGTCGATGTGTTGATTAGAAATAAAAAAAGAGGATTAATTCAGGAATGATTATTAAATGACGACGACTGTAGGACATTCACACAATCTCTAAGTGAAACTATAATTTTATTTGTTGTGCAATCTTCTCAAGTTTCTTCACAAAGAAAAAAAAAATTAATCCACCTTTCAATTCAATTTTATGTCGCAAACCTAAATCGAGCGTGAACATTACAAGCAGAAAATTGAAAAAAATTAAGTTTCTCAAGACGATCACCGCGTAACGTTCACGGATCTGTTGTCACATTGTTCATGTGGGAACTTAAGATAAAAAAAATCGTATTAAAAAATTTCTCTTCTTGCTTCCCTCTCCATCCTCCCCCGCTGTGACGTGATCGTCGAAATCCACCCTCGTCAAACGCAAAAGCGAAGCAAAACGAGATGAAGAAAAGAAAGACAAGGAAAAGAAGCAATAGCAACGCCATATTCCAACAGTGCTACGCTGAGATTCTTGTTGTTGTAGTTTAAAATGGAATAAATATATTTCTTTTTCACTTTTTTTTCCTCTCATCTCATCTCGAGTCTCTTTATAAGTTTTTTTTTTCTTGCTTACTTCTTCCTTCTATTCCTCGACTCAACTCAACATTGCGATGTGTTGTGTTTTGTGTTGTTTGCACACAGGAGTGAGTGAGAAAGACGAAACAGCTTTATTTTTCTCGACCAAATCTCGTATGTTTGCATAATAACAATAATTCGTAATATTTTTTATATGGTATTAAAGCTACAGTTAAAAAAACTTTCACTGACTAGTTTATGTCATCAACTTCACAAATACAGTTTTAGTTGAATGATGGTTAATTATTTTCTGTTCAATTTGTTGTTGTTGACGCTTCATATTTTGTACAAACATCGTTTTTTTTTTCTTCTTTCTTTTTTTTGTGTTTATGAAGTTTTAATCAAACTTCTTCTCTTATATACAACACGCCGTTGATATTATTTTTCGTTATATATAATTGGACAGAAATATACATGCGAGAAAATGATTTTTGAGTTGTTTGGAGTGGAGAATATAACACGATTTCATATTGCTGTTCTATTTCGCACACGAGCTTCAGTTTTAGATGACAAAAAAGATTCTTCTTCGATAGCCTCTCGTCGTTGTTTACAATTTGAAAATTGAAGTTGCCACACTTTTTTTATCATCGTCATCATTTCAGTGAACGACTTCGAGACGCACCAAGTGATGATTCTGATTTTATTACAGAAAATTGTCGTGTTTATTAGAGTCCCCCACAAACATCGTTTGTTCTCTTTATACCTACTTTGCTTTTTCTGTCTCTCTCTCTGGTGTTTTGAATTTCGACCCCCCTTCGTCAAATCAACTCAGATATAATCATAAGAATTACTTGAACAAAGTTTAATGTTTAAAAGAATAAGAAACGCGCTATGTAAGTTGCACTTGATCGCTTTACTTTATGTGATAGACCGCGTCAGTCGTGAAATAAAAATTATAATAAATTTTCCCTTATCATAACTTTTTTTCTTCATTTTAGCACAAACTTCTTCTTAGTATGAGCTTCTTGTCGCTTACAAATGAAAAAAAAAGAAAGAAGAAAAAGAAAACTGAAATTATAAACATCACGACATGTTACGGAAGAATTTTTTTGTTATTATTTGAATATTTTCCATTTTTAAAACTTCTGTTCAAGTGAAGTCGAAACTTGATAATGATAATTCCAAACATTGATTAGTAGAAGTTGTCGGAGAGAATGTGCGCACTTTCTACTCGAATTCGTAAAAGAAAAAAAATTGTTATGAATAATATTTCGCAACAAAGTCTTCGTATGGCAAAAGAAATCAACAAAAAAAAAAGTTCGATTGGATTTGTCTCGTTCTTTAAGACTTTGAGACTTTGAAACGCGGATGAAACGAGAAATACATGAAAATGATGAAAGAAGAAACTCCAACCGTTCTGTTTATTATGTATGCATAAGAATAACCGAGTCAGAACTTAACGATGTGTTTTCAAAAAAATGAGAAAATTAAACAATTTCTTGTTCTTTCCTCCTCTTAAGATCGAAAGGAAAAAAAGCCAGTTTTCATCATAAAGGAATCTGCTGATGGGTTGATCTGAAACTGTTCGTTCTTTTTGTTGTTTGCCTGTTTGCTCGTTTGCTTACTTACTAACTTGTCCGTTGCTGGTGTGTGAGTTGGGTAGAAATGAACAGAAATAAATATAAAAAAAGGACAAGGGAAAAAAGAGATTTGGTAAAAAGAACATTAAATAACCCGAGAAGAATAACAAATAACTGGCGATTAACGATCAACTGTTTGGTTTTTTTATATATATTTTTTAGGCTATTGGGATTTAAATACGTTTTACTAAATTCAACTTCTTATTTTTTCATTTATTGTCACAAGAAACTGCTGATAAGTCTTCTTTTTTTATTTTTTCTCAAAAACTTCACTTGAGTTTGGAAGTCGCATGAAGGCCTCACTCATATCATCAATTTGCACAAAAATATTTGCCACAATTTGTCGTCATGAAAATATCGAACAAAAATTGACTATTTTCTGTTATCGCGACCCAATTTTTTAATCCAAGAATTGAATGTCATCATAACGATTAAATCCATCAATTTAAGCATCGCGACATTCTCAATGTAGCATTTAAGTATCAAACAATCATTCATTATCAATGGATGAGTAGGAACTAGGAAGCTTCGAATCGATTTTCATGATCAAAAAAGCTCAAAATCATTCATATTTATTCAACATCGTCTCATTTTTTGCTGGCTGATAAAAATCAATACGATTGTTTTACTGAATCCGGTTTCTTCGACAATAACCTGACACAAACGATGAACAAATCCTTTGGAAGCGATGAAAAGAAAGAAAAAAAATATAAAAGACTGAAAGATGAAGATCGTTTAAAAAACATAATTTTTTAGTGATGGTTGATGGTGTGTGTTTGTTTGCTCGTCTTTCTGTGTGTACTTAAGTTTTTTTATTATTATTGGAGAACCCAAAAGAAGAAAAAAAGAAGGAAAACTCTAAAACGCGTTGAACAAGAACCCGGGCATGAAGGAATGGGAGGAAAAAAACTGAAACACATGTCGGAGGTTCTTTCGTTCTTATTTCTTATTTCTGCCAAAAATAATCGACCCGAAAAGAGAAAAAAAAGGCATAAAGCAACATGATCGTCTTCTTTGCTGTTTAAAGAAATCTTTTTTTCCTTCAATGCACTTTCATACCAGCAGTAATTTCTCAACATGTTGCGTTTAATATTTTTTTTTTCTGTTGGCACTTAAGTCGTGAAGGAACGAACGTTGAAACAGAAAAAATTGGCACTAGAAGCTAAAGCCACTCACAAAGTTTCTGTTTAGAATATTTAATTTGATGTTTTTATTATTTTCTCTCCCTCGATTTGACTTCGTTCGCCCGTCAATTTCTTTATCAGTTTGCTTGCTTGTGTTTCCCTCCGTTTCGTTTTGCTTTATGTAATTTCAGCCAGTTTAAGTCATTTCATGTCTAAAATTTATGATTTTTTTTTTGTTTCTTTCATTCGTAACGATTTTTTTTCCTCTCTCGTCAGTTCTGCGAATTAAGTTTTTGTATTTTATTTTTTAATTCCATGGTTTGAATTTTTATGCTGGTTTCATAATGTTTTGCGAAATGTGTATTAACAACGAACGTATGTTTAGTTTGCTTGAAGATTGAGGGTTAATTGAGATTTATTGCTCTTAATGGGTGGAAAGATAAGGGTACATTGATGTCATCAGATCACAGTTAGAGGCATCAACAAGAACAGCAGCGTTCAAATTTATTATTTATATAGTCGTGAAAACGATTTCATTTCTATGGGTCGTCGCACGTGTATGTTTACTTGAGATAAGCTCAAAAGATTACATTTCCCGATATTTTTTTTTGTTGTTTGGATAAAGTAAAAATATTCAGTAAAGTTCGATAAGGCATTGGAAAGCTATAGTTACTGACTTGATGTCGTTTCGATCACGAGCGTCTTAAAACATTTTAGTTTGAATTAATTTTCTTCTTCTTCTTCCTTTGATAATTCATAAATAAAAAAAGAAGAGACGAAAAAGGAGAAGAGAAACGAATGAGATCATCATCATGGATTTCCGCTTCGTTATCGACGTCACAAAAAATAAAAGAAGAAAATTATTTTTATCGATTTTTCTTTAAAAATAATCTTAAATGTTAAGCAAGTAAAGTAACTTTGAACCTTCGCGATCACTCGAACATTCACAGCAGTCCAACAACCAGTTTTATACTGTTTAATATTTAAAATGCATTTGACGTCGCTTCAAACGTTGTGTAAACATTTGAGGTTTAATGTGATTCACATCGATTGGTGTCTGAATAATTTTTTTTTCTTCTCCTTCTTTTTTTATCGTTTTGCTTGTTTTTCTTCGTTTTATTTCGAATCATGAGGTTCTGGAATCTTAAAGTGAAGAAAAGAATTTTGTCCCCCGCTAAGATTGTTAAGAAGCGACAACAAAAACATCGAAAGAATTATTTTTATTTCGATAATCTCTGAAACTAGATTTGAGTCAGGTCCACAAGTGTAAGATCAAATCATCGTTCGTCAAACAAGGCAAACGAGTTATTAAATTATCTGTCGCTTATTAATATTGTTCTTAATTGAGCTTAGACTAAGTTAAATTACGCCGTGTTACTTACAACAAGTTCATGTAGCTTATTTTATTTTATTTTTTTTAACTACAAGACTTTAAGCCTTAAGAGTCGCGACTCGACTGGATGTTGTAAAAACTTTTTATTTCTTCTTTTCCTTGGGTTTTGCGCTTTCGAACTTTATTGAATTTCAGACAGTCTGATTTGTTTGTAATGCCCACTCATATGCTAATGACTTGTTTAAAGTATTAAAAGCTGCGTTCACCACATAGGTATCGTGACCCCGACGCTCGTTTGTCGTTGATCGCTAACAATGTGTAAACGTAGAAAAAAGAAATATGGGACTGCATGTGCTGTCAATGAAGCGAAATTATTTCCTTTCTTGATATCCTTCGATTTCCTAAAGAAATGGATACATAAATAAATATATATCATTTTATAACTCTTCCGCGTTTCGCTTGTTTACCGGTTGGAATGATACGTTTGAAGCGTTGCGAATGTATGTGAACTTAAGTGCACTTTTCTGTTTCTCTTTCTTTCCTTCAACTGTGCATCGGAAATTCCGGAAATAAAAGTAAACTAGTTTAGTTATTGCTGTTAATTTTGTAATGTTTATTTACTAAACAATTTTAGTCTTTCTTTCTCTCTCACTCGCTTATTTATTGCTGTTGTAATAGTTGTAGTTAATGCACTTTCACTATCTTGTCTTCAAGTCAACAGCTTCCCCTTTCTCATAGCAATTTTTTTTGTTTCTCGCCAACTTAGCGGCTCTTAAGCACGAAAACACTCGGAGAAATAATAATAACAATAAATGGGAATAAGTCTGAAGTAGCTTTAACTTAACTTTATGTTTTTTCGCTTCATGATACGAGTAATTATTCAATTGAGTAACTTCAGAAAGCGGATCCAAGTTCACCGAAAATGAAAAAAAAAAGTTTTAAATTTTTCATTTTTCCAAACACTTTGATGTAATTTGTTTCTTTACAATTGAAGTTTATCGTGTGAGATCATTATAAGCTTCGGTATTGTCTTGTCGTATAAACGTTAAGCTTTTACATGCGTCATAAATTCATTACTTTGCAATCAATTTAACAAACAGATTGTGGGATGTGAACGGCGGGTTAAGATGATAAAATAAATTTATTCAGGAAAACAAATGGTGGTTGAATGAGTGAGGAATATAAATAAATAAACGACAGAGAATATAAATTGAATGGAATATAAATTTGCGTATAATTTTTAAAGGAATTGAGACAATCTGAGACAATTTCTTATTTCTTTTTTATTATTCTTCTACCCGTTAATCAAAATTAAAGTATTCAATTGAATTTCCACTTTCACGTTTCGGTTATATTTACATAAGTTTCTTCAAAAACTTATCAACCGACTTTACGCGTCATAAATTTTTTTCTTTAAATTTTTCCATTGCTGTCGTCTTATTTTTTTAATTAGGTATAATGAAGTAAAGCGACCGACCAAACCTTTGAATTTGAATTTTACCAGTCATGGAAAAACTTTTTCTATTTTTTATTTTTTGAATTTCCATTCGTGAACAATCTCACAAGCATGAAGGTAATTGCATAAATCTTATAACGAATCGGAAACAATGTTAAAATATAAAAATAGTCAGCGAAGGGGAAAACATGAGTTACGAGTTATTACGTAACTTTCACTGACCATTTGAGCCCATTGAGCTGCGAGCTACGAGCTAAACAAAAGAAATGAAAATTGAAAAGCGAAAGAGATTTGCGCCTCATGCCTTGCTGTTTACATCCTTGACAAAATGTGAAATCGCTGACCAAATTAACACTCTTCACATCAATAGTCAGTCAAAGTTTTTTCCAGGATCTTCATATAGTTCGAGAAATCACCTCGTTGGCGTCTGTTTTAACAACAGAAATGTCTCACTCAGCTTTTACAATTTGCATCACAAAGCAATGCGATCCAAAGCTATGAAGAAAGAAAGAAAGAAAGAAAAAATAACTCGCGCGCCGTTGAAAGTGAAACCGAAAAAAAGCAACTCGCGCTTTTAACTCTCTCCATACAGTCGCGCGGTTTCATGCTGGAGTTATTTGGTATTATGTAAGTTTACACACTTAAACAGAGAGCATTTTATGCTTTTTTTTGTTGAGTACCTCAAGACTCGTTATTTCTTCTTGTTTTCTTTTACTGCTTTATTCATCTGTACCTATTCTCTATTTATATACTTACATACAATTTTTAAGGTAATCATTTGATTCGATCATGATCACATGTGCTGCAAGGACGTTCTCTTGGGAATCACTGTTTCTCTGTTTATTGGTCATTCGGTTGACAAGTCTCTTAAATGGCGAAAAGAAAGCTAACAAGCTTTTCACAATTATTGTTAAATTTCTGAATTGTATGTTTTGTTTATAGGGGCTAAATGGGTCACGCTTTGTCGATATATATTTTAGCGCGTGTCTAAATGTTCACTTTTTGTCATGAGCTCATAGATAGATAGAAATTAAATACGCGATAAAATTGAAATCGAAAGTTGGAAGAAGATTAACAAATATTCAATGTTTTTTTTTGTATTTCATATGAAATTAGGAAAACCTTGAAGTAGAAGTTGAACAAAGAGTAGTAAAGGAACTATTTCTAGTAACATGAATCTATTTAAATATTATTGGGTCATATAATTTCAGTGTTTTGTCACGAAATAGTCCAATAATATTTATTTATTTGAAATAACAAAAAAATATACCATTTGGTTGTTTAAGTTAATTTGAATATGTACAATAAATTTGTTCAGGAATGGTTTAAGAAACTTCATCTTGGATTCTACTCTAGTACATTTAAGAGTAAATATTCAAAATAATGATGTACTAGACCAACTGATAACCTTCAATTTCGAGGATTACAAACAAAAGTGAAGACAACAATTTTAGCAAATTTAACGTTTTCCAGTTTTTATTTACTCGACTCTGGTGTTAAATAAAACACATTTTCAGTCTCATTTATATTTAACTACATTTTAAGCAAATTTCAAATAGAAAACTGCAAAAAACCGGAATGGATATCCTAAGCATGATTCCAGTAGTTAGTATAAATATATGCCTTGGAGCATTGTACAAAAACACGTTTTTGCAATCAAATATGAATTAAAATGTGGAAATTTCTGCAATTTTTAAGCAATTAAAATAATTATGTGACATCATTGATAATTTAAAATTTTCAACTCAGTCACCTTATCAGATGACAGCGTTTAGTTCTTCTTTTTGCATTTAATTTAATATTTTGTATATATTTTAAGTTTTACCCAAGGGGTTTAAGATTTCAAATTCATAGTTAAAAAATCACTTCCTGATAAAATGGTTGTTTCCCCCTAATTAAATATCTTATGTTACGCAAGAAAATTTCTCTAACGTTTTCTTTTTTTTCTCTTCGCAGAATCAAAATTCAAGCGTGAAGTTGAACAACGTCGCAATCAACAGTTCCAACTACAAAGAGCAGATACAACGAAATAATAAGGATGAAATGCATTTTATGAAGCAACGAAATGACGCTTACATGACGAAGTTCATAGCTGCACAAAAGCGAATGCCCTCTGAAGTAAACCAGCACCAACATCATAATACATTGGCCAGGACCGTTTCAACACCGATGCCAATTCCAGATGCAAATCAAGCCGTGACGAATCTCTTTTCATCGCTTAATGACATCCTGAATGCGGGCACGACCACTGGACATCGTAAATTGGAACGTACACAATCGGAGCCGATACCTCAGACAAATACATCGCGGTGAGTTTTTTTTGTTTCTCTTAAGCCTCTACATTTGCTAAATCATTCGTCGTTTACGTAATAAAATCAAACCACATCACTGGATGCATTCACATGTTATGTGGTATAATTATTGTGGTATTTCGTCCAATGTTTTTTTTGTCATCTTATTACATATAATATGTAGCAATTTGAAAGCACATAAAAATCGAAGTTGTTACGTATTTTATGCACGACCACGACTGATGATTTTCAAATTAAAACATCGAAATTTTTAATTGAATTGTTTTATTCGTTTGACAGATATAAGACGGAATTATGTCGTCCATTCGAGGAAGCTGGTGAATGCAAATATGGTGATAAATGTCAATTCGCTCATGGCGTCCATGAATTGCGAAATTTACAACGTCATCCAAAATATAAGACGGAATTGTGTCGCACGTTTCATAGTGTCGGCTTTTGTCCTTATGGTGCACGGTGAGTAAACTTTATTCCATTTTTCAATTGCAACAATTCTGAAAGTTTTCTTCCAGATGTCATTTCGTCCACTCATCGCAAGAAGCATTGACCCATAACCGACAAGTTGCCGCTTATCATGCACGCTTGCAACAACAACAACAGAGCCGTATGAAGACGATGAGCATTTCAACTGGATCGGATCGGGAAACATCGTCTGTTGGTTCGATCTCCCCGACAATGACGCACGCTCAAAATCAGGGCGGAAGCTTCTTTGTGGATCAATCCAGTCCAACGAATTTGTTCTCATACACATTCAGTCCATCAAACAGTCCAATTCTCGACATGGCGCCCATTTCACCACCACCGCCACCAGCTCAATTTGTTAAGCCTCAACCGTTTATTGATCATCATCATCAGCAACAGCAGCAGCAGCAAAAACATGCAAAAGTGATGAAGCAAATGTCGATTCCGGAGGAACGTTTGCCGGTGTTCAATCAGATCAGTTCTGTCGTTGATTCGATGAATACACTGACAATCTAGAATGTTCTTTTCCTTATCAACAAAACAATTAATGTTCTTCCAACATTTAATGATCGTCTTCCAAGAAATCAAAGAGAGAAAAAAAAAACAAAACAAGAAAAAAGCTTAAAGAACTTCCACTTTAAGAAATGATGAAATTTTGCGAAAGAAATTTAAAAACAAAAAGAAAAAAAATATCAAAAATTGTTTCTCAAATCTCATTGCGAAAAGAAAGAAAGAAAGAAATAATTTTTTATTCAACCAGACACCCCCCGGAAGTTGCGCAATTCGAAAGCTTTCATTCGCTTAAACCACCAACCAGAGAACTAAAAAACAAAATCGCAACACCATTTTAATTTTTTTATTATTTATCAGAGAAAACAACATAAAAAAATGAAAAAATAATTTGAAGCAACACAAAAATAAGAGCGGCACTTGTGCCAGTAAATTATGAAATATATTTATTTTCTCGTCTCATATTCGACTAAAATTATTTATTATTACTTACCTTCCTTCTTTGAGAAAAAATGGGAAAGACAAAAAGAACTTTTGAGGTGTTTTCATGTACGACGATCATCATGATTTCTTTTCCATTTCCAGAATTCAACAACAATTGATCGTGTGGGTGGTGAGAAGTTTGCGTTCGACTTTCTAGAAAGTTGTCTCGTGCTTCAACAACTTCCCAACGATAACTTTTTTTATATAAAAGAAATGGAAAACATCACGATTCGTCGTCATTAAAGTCGCCTTTTTTAAAAAAAAACATTGGAAATATTAAATTTTAAATCATGTAACTTAATTATTTGAAAACACAACAAACACAAACATACATACAAAAAAAGCATTAATATTTATCGAACTTCTATTCCCGCTCAGATTTCGGAAAATTAATTTATGATTAAAGAGTTTTGATACTCGATTTAACTTCTCCTTCTGCCTTTCCTAGATTTAAGATTTTTTTACAATGAAATTTTTTCAAATCAATATCGCTTAGTAGTTAAGATTATTTAATTAAATATTTAGTTTTTCTTTTCTTGCTTTAACCGAATGAAAGATTAAGACATGAATTTGATAATCATACAAAACATGGATTGCACAAGTGCTTTGTCGATATATATGAATATCGTATTTATAACAGAAGAAAATATATGAAAGATTTATAAATTGATGTTAATTAACAGTTTACAGTAATCATACAAAATGATTGAGTCATAAGATTGAACCAAAAAACCAGAAAAAAACTACATATGATGAGATATGAAATTTAAAGCCTTAAATAATTCACTTGTTTTTTTCCCCTTATCAACACGACAAACAAAATCAAAATGAAGAAAAAAGAAGTTTCGAAAGCAAAGAAAAAAATACATTAAATTTATGTCTTCCCCAGTTATTTAATTGCAATCAACATGGCGATGATAAAGAGTAGATTTTTATTCGTTTCTAATCTCTGCGAGTCCTAAAAAGAACGAAAGATAAGAAATGATTAAATTTTGATATTTTTTTCATCGCCCCGTGTGTTGTTTTAGAAAAACAAAACAGAAAAAAAGACTTTGCTGTTGTTCAAAAGAACAGTGCCTTAAGATTGCGAATTATTATCAAATTGATTTTTGTCGAGCTTCTTATTATTATTATTATTTCTCCTAAATTTTTGCTTCCTCTATATTATAAGTGCAAAGAAATGTGTTTTCATGATTATAAGAAACCTAATCAACATCTCTTAAAAGAAAGAATTTTGTATTCAGATAAATGAAGTCATTTTGCGAAAGAAATTAACGAATAACATAATTTAAATAAAGCATATCGCTGATAAGAAATAAAAGACTCAATCTCGACTTCCATCTACCCCCAATTTAGTAATTGGGGGAGAAGGCATAATAACAAATCCTTTTCGTGATACTTGCAAGATTAAAAGACGTTTAATTAAAATGAAAAAGAAGAATAATTCGATAGAATGAATTTTAAGTTTTCTTTTTTTTTTCCTTATCATTGATTTAAGTCATAGTCAGCTCTTCCAAGCGATTTAATTCGGTTTTTCCTTTATGTGCTTCATTATGCTTAATGCTTTTTGACGTGAAGGAAAAACCTTACGCAAAAGCAATTTTTTTGGTCTTTATTTATTATGACGTAGACGTGTAAGGAAAATAGAGAAAGAAATTGTTTGATGATAAAAAAAGAAATGCAATCAATGGAATTTTATGAATGTTGATAAGATATGATGATATAAATATTCAGTTGCCATAGTGGTGATGTGACACATGATGAATGATGGATTGCTTTTCAATAATAATAATAATAATAATAAAATATAATTTGACATAAATCTCTCAATCTAAATGCCAAAGTAACGTTCGAGAGGTGAGAAGAAGTTGACACAAGTGTGAATATAAAGGGAAACAAAGGTTAATTCACAAATTCATTGATACACGATCATCATTTCTTTTGGATATCAATTAAACAATATTTTTTAGTTTCATAAGTTTTCTCCTTTTTATTATTCGTATTTAATTTAATTTAACTTAATTATGCTATTTAAAATTTAACAAAAAAAATACCAGACATTTATTCCTTGCTTTGAGATAAGAACATAAGAAGCATTTATTCATTCAATTCGAAGCTACAACATTTCCTTCTTGCAATTCAATAATATAAAGCAATAAACATCTAAATAAATTTTTTCATGCCTTAAATTTACATTTTAGTCTTCCTAAAGATAGAGTTTTGCTTATCTATTAGCACAAAAATTGATTCACTGGTTTTTTCTGCATTTTATTTCTTTTGTGCATCTTCAATAAATAAATAAAAAAAGGTTCTTTTATTCAAATTTATAAAATGTTATCGTCTACACAGTTTTGTATGCAAAAAAAGAGAAATATTTCGAGAAAATACAAATTTTTTGTACTTTTGTAAAAACGCTGCGTTTTATTTTTGTGTTTCAGATGATTTTATTCTTCTTTATATTCCAATACAGAAATATATATTACGTCGATATTTATTCGCCCTAAATGAGAAGTTTGATCAGTTTTTGTTTCTCAATGTTTGCCTTTTTATTCATACATACTTAAGTAGTCTACTCATTTGGATAACGTCTTTAAAGATATAAATAAACATTTTTGTTCAACATTAAAATTTTATGAGTCAAACAAGTTAAATAACGTATAATTTGAACCATTTAATTCACATGTTTATCATTGGCGGCGCTGTCATCGCAAAGTTTTGTTAAAGACGTAAATATTTGTGCCTCAAAATTTGTTTTTATTACTTATTTTAGTTAAAGGAGATTAATATCTACAGATCAAACATGTCAGAAGTTTTTTCAATAGAAACACGAAGTCGATCACGTTCAAAAACACCGAATTTACTATCAAGTGAAAACGGAAAACACGATAAGAAAGGATTAAAAAAGATTCCCACCATAAGTTTAATTGAAGAAGAAGATGACGCCCTCAAAAAAGTCTCAACATCTCAAGCACCTCAAAGTTCGAGAGTGAAACGACAACGTCGCAGTGAAAATGCAGCTTCAACAGCTTCATCCAATATTATTTCAGAAGCACTAAACGAGAATTTCGAACAAACCAGTTCAATTAAATCATCAGTGACTACTTTTACAACTGTTTCTCAATCAGTTACAAGGACAGTCAATGGAAATGAAGAATCAAGTGAATCAATCACAAAATCCTCTTCTTCTAATCATGATCCATCAACATCACAAAACAACAGCTTATTTAATAATATTTTCAACACAATTAAAACAAGCACACCAATCTTATCAAGTAGACGTTCAAGACAAATTGTCAAGACAAGGGGAGCTACCGAGTCAAAAATAAGTGAAGCTGATCATTTAGCTTATAAAGAGTATAAAGATGCTGGTGAATATTGGAATAAATATCCAAAAACCGATTACACTTACAGCGAGTTGTCACCACATCGACGTGAGCTGGGCAATGGCGTTGTCGGAATGCCTAACATGTCACGACATTCACTCGAAAAATACCAAACACGTGTTGAAAACATGATTCAAAATAATCCCAATGAAGAAAGTTTCCTGAGAAGGAAATTCTTATCGAAAATTAGCAACTCGATGCAAAAGAACTCTGCTGATCTTCAATACGATTCGTCAGATGAAATTGATTTAGGAGTTGTCCACAACCGTCATCAAGTGCTTAGAAAAAGTAACAATGTTGTGACTCGCTTCTTTCTTATGATCATCACAATGATTACCTCGGTTTACTCAAAGTTCACTCAAAGTTTGCGAAGAACATTCTCGCTCGATACAAATGAAAGCTTTTCATCTGTTCATAAGAAACAAGAAAGTGGAATATTTTCAAAGATCTTTAATTCAATTAAGCAGCTTATTTTACTACCATTTAGCAAATTTTATTTGTTGATATCAACAATACTGTGTGTTGACACTTGGATTCTTTATTCTCACTCGGAGAGTCGTAAAAGGAAATATTTCTTGCTGCTTTTATTATTTTTATTACCATTTTTACTTCTCGCTTATTGGCTTTTATCTGATGAAGCATCTCAGCTTATGAAAACAACTGAATTTGTTGTACCAAACTTTCATCATTTGAATGAAATTTATAATAATTTTGGATCCATTCGAGATCGTATGTGGAATTTTGATTTTAATCTTGCATGGCTTTGGTTACCATTAACGTCAATCGCATCTGGAATGAAAGGATTTTTATTTACAAAGAATGTAAAAGAAGATGTTAAGATGGCAATTGATGAAGATAAACTGCAAATGTTAATGGCTTACATTGATCGTTACATCGATACAGCAATTGGGAAGAAGTTTAAATCCAACAATGAAAAGATTTTGAAGGAAACAAATGAAAAAGTTTTGTTGATCATCGCTGATAATGTTAAACATTCGATTAATCAATACCATTATCAATTGAGTCCTGAGGATATTGAAGTGATTGTTGGTAAAATAAAGCAACAGTTTGAAAGTGAATTGAATGAAAGGGAAAATTCAATTTTAAGTAAAATAATTCCGAAGAACGAAGAAATTATTGTCAAGAAAGTGAAAGAAACTTTGAATCTGAAACCAGATAAACTTCAATTTAATAATGAGAATGTGAATTTGGATTTTATTCTTCAGAAAGTCTTGAACTCAGACAAATTATTATCTTTTATCAATGATCATCTTCAGCCAAGTTTAATGAAACTTGATCATCATGAAAGTGACATTCAAGACCTTAAGTCGGACTTCAATAAGTTTAAATCGGATGTGGTCGCGAGATTTTCAAGCCTTGATATCGACATTAAAAATAATCACGTCAGCAATGACAATCTTGTTAATGATTTCATGAAATTTAAGCTTGAAAATGATCAAAATCTTCAAAAGTTGTTGCTTGAAATTGATCAAAAGATGATTTCCTTCGGTGATTCTCATTTTTCATCAATCGATGCAAGTGTCAGAAAGAATCTTTTGAATATTCTTGGCTTCAATTTAAACGATCAACAGAATGAAATGGACGAAGCTTCGATTAGAAACTGGATTAACAGCATGTTCGTTGCCAAAAGTGATTTGGAAAAGGAATTAAAACAAATCGAAGTAAATGGTGAACGAGCTTTTAAACTTCAGTTAAATGAGAATGCGGGAATTCTCATGAATAAAATTAACGAAGAAATAAAGAAACAAATTACGATCTCGTTTGATGAACAAAATACAGCTTCAAAGGCGAATATAGGAGTTTCGGGAACATTAACAGAAGCTGATGTGTTAAAAATTGTAAAAGATGTTCTTGCCGTTTATGATGCTGACAAAACCGGTCTCGCTGATTTCGCATTGGAGTCAGCTGGAGGTCAAGTTTTATCGACACGATGCACTGAAAATTATCAAATTAAAAGTGCGGAAATTTCCATCTTCGGGATTCCGTTATGGTACCCATCAAACACACCAAGAACTGTCATATCACCATCAGTTCAACCTGGTGAATGTTGGGCATTCCAAGGGTTCCCAGGATTTTTGGTTGTGAAATTGAACAACATGATTAACATCAGTGGATTCACAATGGAACATATTTCGCAATCACTTGCTCCGAATGGAATTATTGACTCCGCACCGAATAATTTCTCAGTATGGGGTCTCACCACGGAAATGGATAAAGATCCAGTGAACTTTGGCAATTATCACTACTCGGCAGATGAAAATGCTGCGAGTCTTCAATACTTCCCAGTACAAAATAGAGAAATTAATCAACCATACCAAATCATTGAATTGCGTGTTGAATCCAACCATGGAAATCCAAGTTACACTTGTTTATATCGATTTCGTGTTCATGGGAACGTCGTGAATCGATAAGTGCTTTAAGATGTTAGATAAGTTAATTTTAAGTCACAAAAATGCCTCAATAATCAAAACAAAAAATAGTCATTTCAATGTTTCATCAAATTTCTTTTAAATGAATTTAGTTTGTCACTTTTGCTTTTCTTTTTTCGTTTGTTGATAGTTTAAGTTTCTTCTTTTGTTTTATGTTTTTTTTTAAATAACTGTAAGTGGAAAAATTTGTTCAAGCTGCCTTTGTACTGTAATTTAATTTTGTTTTTCTGGGAGAAAATGTGAATAAAAGTGTATTTCAAGAAAAAAGATTTTCTTCTTTTGATAAATTGCAGGCTGTCGTTAATTTTTCATTTTCATGATTAAAATGATTTGCTTAAAGCTAATCCTGAAAGTTTAAAGATTAGAATAAAAATCGCCAAGATTAAGATTAGAGGTAAGATTAATCAAGAACAGAGTTAGATTAGATTTTCTCATTGTGCCGAAGTTAAAGTCTTCAACTTGTAAGCTTCGTAAATTTATTTTTGAATGAGAAGTGGGAACAAGTTTTCTTAATTTTTAAATAAAAGCCGATTCATTTTAAGTCAATAAATTAATTCCTTAAATCTCGTACACTTCAAGATGGTTAGTAAACAAGGAATTACATACAAAAAGTAGAAATTTAAGTGAAATATGAACATTTGTGTGAAATTGCACAAAAATCCAATGTGTGAGATTAATTAAGGAATTTATCGAAATATTGTTGTTTTACTGAGAAAAAATGGAAGTGTTGATAAAGATTTGAGTAAAAGTCAACGATTAGTATTTGTTTCATAAGCAAACACACTTGTTTTCAATAAAATATTTAAAAAATGTTTTCTAACATTAACCTCACTTCAGTCATAAAAAAATTCGAATCATCCAGAACATAAAAAACATGCTACAATTTTCAACTTCTATTTCTTTTAGCAACCTCAAATTGTGTTACTCAAAGAAGGAACTGATACTTCGCAAGGTAAACCCCAAGTAGTATCCAACATCAATGCCTGTCAATCAATTGTCGATGCTGTAAGTAAATTTTTTTTCAAAAAACTTCAATAATGAGTCACCTGATGACTTTTTTTTAGGTCCGCACAACACTTGGTCCTCGAGGTATGGATAAACTCATCGTTGATGGACGTGGAAAAGCAACTATTTCAAATGATGGAGCTACAATTATGAAGCTTCTTGATATCGTTCATCCAGCTGCAAAAACTCTTGTCGATATCGCAAAGTCACAAGACGCTGAAGTCGGTGATGGAACGACAAGTGTGGTTCTTCTCGCTGGCGAGTTTTTGAAGCAACTGAAGCCATTTGTTGAAGAAGGAGTTCACCCACGCATCATCATTAAAGCTATTCGTAAAGCTCTTTCACTTTGTATCGAAAAGATTAATTCAATGGCAGTAAAAATAGAGAAAAGTGACAAAAAAGAACATCGCGCCCTTCTCGAGAAATGTGCATCGACTGCTATGTCATCAAAATTAATTCATCAACAAAAAGATTTCTTCTCGAAAATGATTGTCGATGCTGTCCTCAAGTTGGATGATTTGATGCCACTCAACATGATTGGAATTAAGAAAGTGACTGGTGGTGCTTTAGAAGAGTCATTGCTTATCGACGGTGTTGCTTTCAAGAAAACTTTCTCCTATGCTGGCTTTGAGATGCAACCGAAAAATTACACAAATTGTAAAATTGCTTTGCTCAACATTGAATTGGAATTGAAAGCTGAACGCGATAATGCTGAGATCCGTGTTGATAATGTTGCAGAATACCAGAAGATTGTCGATGCGGAATGGCAAATTCTTTATGATAAACTCGACAAAATTCACAAATCAGGAGCAAATGTTGTGTTATCGAAACTTCCAATTGGTGATGTTGCTACACAGTATTTCGCTGATCGTGACATGTTCTGTGCTGGACGTGTACAAGATGAAGACATGCGACGTACAATGAAAGCTTGTGGTGGAGCAATTCTCACAACAGTTGCTGATCTCGATGATAAAGTCATGGGGAAATGCGAGAAATTTGAAGAAACACAAATTGGCGGTGAAAGATTCAACATTTTCTATTCAACAGCAGGAAGTGTTCAACGTAGTGTAACTCTCGTTCTTCGTGGTGGAGCTGAACAGTTCTTGGAAGAAACTGAACGTTCCTTACACGATGCTATTATGATTGTTCGTCGTACGATCAAGAACGACGCTGTTGTTGCTGGCGGTGGCGCTATTGAGATGGAATTGTCGAAGATTTTACGTGATTACTCACGAACTATCGCTGGAAAGGAACAACTTTTAATTGGCGCTTTAGCGAAAGCTCTTGAGATTATTCCAAGACAATTGTGTGACAATGCTGGATTTGATGCAACAAACATTCTCAACAAGTTACGACAAAAACATGCTCAAGGTGAGATTTTATTTTAAATTTATCAATCAATTTGACTTCATGTATCGTAATTTTAGGAAACATTTGGTATGGCGTTGACATCAACAAAGAACACATCACAGATAACTTTGAAGCTTGTGTTTGGGAGCCTTCAGTAATCAAGATTAACGCTTTGACAGCCGCATGTGAAGCAGCAAGTTTAATTTTGTCAGTTGATGAGACTATTAAAAGTCCAAAGTCAGCTAATGATATGCCACAAGCTGGTGGAATGCCTGGACGTGGAATGGGACGACCCATGATGTAAACAACAAGCGATCAAATAATTATTTCATTTTCTAATCATTCACTCACAAACATTTTTTTTTGTCACGAGGAATTTTCTTCAACTGCTTCTCCTGAACTAATCCACCACAAACGAACATTTTTTTGCATTAATAAAAGAAATCTTGTAACCATTAAAAGTTATTTTTATTTATTATGAATTTTGACATAATTTAAAAGCATAATTTTGAGTGGAGAAAGATGTTCGGGTAGGTAATGAAAATGAGTCAGAAATTAATGAAATGTTAAAATTGTCATGAATAGTTCAAACATGTTGATTCATTTCTCATGTTTCAGTCATACATTTAGCATGAAACAATGATACAAAAATCAATACTTTTTACCAAGAATGAAATTTCAATAATTTGATTAAGAGAAACTTTTTAATTTTTTCCAGATTAATTCTGAAGTAAATTAAAAAAGCTTTTAAAGTTGAAAGAAAAATTGGAAAAAGTTTTCTTTGAAGCAGCACATGTAAAGACAATTTCTGATAAATATTGGTGCTTTCATCATTACAATGTATTGCGCATCCACTGGAAAGCTTTCTAATAATGCAAACGAAAGTTTATTTTCTGATATTTCGAGGACGAATATGTTCGGTCGTAGAGAACTTCAGCACTTTCTCGTGAGTTTCTCACATTAACGGGAGCTTTTTTACTTTTCCTTCTCGTTTTGCGATGAACTTGGAAAATTTTTATCGCCTTTCGTGAGGAGTTTTTTGAGTTCATTTTTTCCTTTTCGCCTTTTTCCATTGCGTGAATGTGAAAGAAAGAAAAAAGACGTTTTTAAAGTAGAAGAAAGGAAAAAAAGTCTTTTTTTTATTTCTTGTCCGTGATAGAATTTTTATTTTCCAAGTGCTGTTTACAGTAAGTTGAAGTGCAATTATCAGTATTTAGAAAAGGTTTTTATCGAGTGGCATTTGCAAAGAGTGACGACGAGAAGTTCCAACAAGAACAACGAAAGAAAAAAAGTTGAAAAACATTTTTCGATAAATTCGTGATGGGGACATGAGAAAAAAACGTACAAAGTTTGGTTTATAAACGGAATGAAAAGTGGTAGAGAAATGAAGGAAAATTCGGAACGATAAAGATCTAAAATGTTCCCATTTAAGTGCTGAAACGTGAGATAAAAATTCAATGACAGAAGAAGGAAAAATTGTCTGAAAAATTGAATATTGTGCACTGCCTAAATAATTAAACATCAATTTTTTCCTTCCTTTTCTTTCTGGCTCTTGCTCCATGCTTTTCGAATGAACATTATTGATTTTTCCATGAACATAAAAATAGTAAACTATGACCAGAAAAAACATTATATGGCGTGAGAGAGATGGAAACAGAAGAAAGGAACTTCTCGTTCATATTCTGTTGAATTTCAACGGGTGATTGTTGCAATTTCTATTTTTTTTTGGCTCGTGTTTGAACAGAATTCAATGTGAAAAGAAAGACAACGACAAGAGAGAAAAAAGTCTATGTTCATAGGAAGAAAAAACTCAATTTTCGTGAGCTTTGCCATCGTCATGTTATTTATTTTTAGTCGACTAAAACTTAAAAGAAAAGAATAGAAAAAAAATCGAAAGCTTTTCCCTTTTTTTCTCGCTCGCTTTCTTTGTCCCTGTTTTTGTTTTGATGACCCAAGAGACTTTCAAACAAACTTCTCGTCGTTACTTTTATTTAGTAATTTTCTATGTAATTAAAAAAGTTTAACGAAGAGAATAGAAAAATAAAAGCTTTTGCTATTTGCCTTCGAAACTACATACGTCAAAGCTTATGTAGATTCTCCCTCTTTGTAAATTTTCATTCTCTCTCCCCTTTTCTCTGAAATTTCCTTTTTTTCTGTTTGCTTTTCATAGACATATATTTTATGAGTGAAAATTATTTTTGACATTGAGTTGCATTAATCTCAGACGTCAACAAAATATTCTCATTGCAGATGATAATTCTCCTGATAAGATGAAAACAACTGGCGTGAGCAATAGCAATAATAATAATAAAATTTATTCAGATAAATTTCAAATTATTGAAAGCATTTCGGAAAGAAATAACAATAACAGTCCATCGATCGATTTGTTAAGTTACTCAAATATCAGTAACAATAATGTTTACGCCGACATAGTCGACTTAGACGATACAGATTCTCATAGTCTCATGTATAGTCAAAATGCACAGCAATGGGGACGTCATGACCGTACGTTGAGTAACAATATCGGCCGAAAGCCTTTTGACGACCAGAGCTTATACTTGGCAAACTCAACATCAAGATCTGTACATAGCTCGTATGGTAAACATTTCAAAACGCTTTTTTAGTCATTTTGTTTTATTATGTAGTTGCTTAAAGCTAAGTGACTCCCCCATTATGTTTCATTATTATTATTCGTCTTGTTTTTGTCTTATTTAAACATAAGAAAATATTGTGATGATGACATGATGCAAGCATTTGATTTATCCCAAAAGAGTTGACCGACTTTTCTATATCAAATATCATAAAAGCTCTACAAATAAATATTCTTATTTTTGGCACATGTTCGGATAATTTAAGAAAATAATAACAATATCAATAATGAAGAATTAACATAAATAAAAAGAAAAGAAAATATTTGACTTGACATTAATTTGTCGTGAAATATTTCTAGATAGAAGCTATCATCACCCTCACTCTCAAGATCATCGACGACATTACAGCAGCAGTGACTTAAACTATCTGCAACAACCACGTCCACATTCACAGAATTCATATTACAGTAGAACATCTTCACAGCCAATTAAAGACTATAGCAATAATACAGTTCAATCGCCATTAGCTTTACATTCAACGAATAATATTCAAACGGTTAAGACCGGATTGAATAAAAATAGTTCAGCTGTAGCTGCTTCATATAACAGTAACAGTAACAGTAATAGTAGAGCAATGAGCAGCAATAGTAAGATGTCAAATGACCAAAAGCATATGCCATCCAATTCATCAACGGGACGAAGCAGCAAAACTGTCAATTCGAATCACCTTAAAAAGAAGGTCATTTCGCCTGAGGAAGTTATTCAACTCTTTTCAGTTCCACAACATCATGGACATCACCCCCAACATCCACATTTAACAGGTTTTCTAGGACATCATAATCATGGTGCTGCTGGTGCTCGACAGCGAACGAGCAGCGGTTCAGCAATTATTAACGAGAATCAAAGGGGAAGAAAAAGTCCATCATCGGCTTCAAGTCCGCCAACAATGACTCATCAGGTGAGTTAAAATTAAAAGTTAAAATTTAATTAAAAGACAATTTAATGTTTTATTATGTTAGCTTTATCGTGGTGCACCTGGTGGTGCTGTTGGAGGTGTTGATGTGATGAGAGATCATCATATTAGTCACAGTATACCAAATATCCATCAATTATCAACTCGAACTATACATTTGAAACGAAGTGATAGTACAAAAGGAAATAATTTAAGTTTGCCACTAAAACAAACATCACATCAACACCATTCAAGCTCGAGTTATCATAGTAGCAAATCAAACAGTAAAGACACTCAATTGCAATCAAATAAAGCTGATGATCCAAGTCATAATGGATTCGGTATTTGCATTAAGGGAAATAAAACGACCGGTCGTGGTGTTTATATAGCAAAAGTTGAAATCGGTTCGCCAGCTTATCAAAATGGTTTGCGTGTTGGTGATTCAATACTTGAAATAAATGGTCAACCATTCACATCGATGCATCATGAAGAAGCAGTTAAGAAATGTACACAAATATTAAAAGCTGAAAAGTTTTGTTCAATGACAGTTCGATCACCAGAACTTGCAACAATGAAATATAATAGTTTTGATGAATCTCAACTTCATCATTACCCGAGAGACGAAGAACTTTATATTCCTGTTCCAATGGCAAATGAAATGCATGCAACAACAGATTCAGGTTCAATTCATTCATCACCACCACAGAAAGTTGGTTGTTTATGGATTGACAGACATGGACGGTCTGTGTCACCACCACATGATTATAATCATCGACGCATCGATAAAATGGATCGAGTTAGACGAATAGATTTATTAATTGAACATGGTCAATCGCTAGGATTAATGATAAGAGGTGGGATTGAGTATGGTTTGGGGATTTTCGTCACGGGAGTTGATAAGGATAGCGTAGCAGAAAGATCTGGTTTAATGGTATGAATTCCATCAACTACTTGGATACTAAAAAAATAATTTTGAATTATTTTAGATTGGTGATCAAATATTAGAAGTTAACAATCGATCATTCCTGGAAATAACTCATGACGAAGCCGTCAACTTACTCAAGAACCACAAACGTATGACACTTTTAATTCGAGATATCGGAAAAATTCCATATTCTTGCTCCTACAACAATTATCCGCAATCTTCATCTTCTTGGCACGCTGGAGATACATCCACAAGTCGTCATAGCACTTCAATTAAAACAGTTAAAAAGAATTGTAGCATATCGTCGATCGAGGAGAAGGCGAGGTTACTTTTGTCACGTAATCACTTTTTAAATTTGATTCACAATATATCTGAATATGGTGGAAGGGGAATGCCCATTGAAACGTTTGTCACAATTTTATTAGAGCTGTTAGATACTCCTGAGAAGGTGAGTGTCAAGAAATGATGGAATTTTCTTTAAATCCTTTCCTTCTCATTGTTCATTTTGTGTCTTCATTTCTTTTCAAATGTGAAGAAAATAAGAAAAGAAAATCGTTAAACTTTATAGAATCAGAATTTTATTGTTTGTTGGAACGATTGATTGCATGCTAACCATAGACGATAGAAATTATTTTGTTTTCTTTTCATTTTCCTTCTTTTTCTACTTTTCTCCCAATTACAGCATAGTCTAGTTTCTGAAATTCGTGATATAGTTTATCCGGAGGATAGGCTGCGTTTTGACGAGTTAATGTTCCGTCACGGAGTTACTGTAAATGTTTTAAGCAATAATGTAGCTACTCTTTATGGCCGTAGTGGAGTATGTTATTTAACAACAAGTCTACTCCTAGACAATACCTTATTAATTATTTAAACATTTTCTTTTTGTTATATTTTATCGCAGGGAGTTTTTAAAAATAGAATTGGAAATAGAGGCAGCGATGCTCAGTTAAATCATTCAGGATTACACTCAGTATGTAAACTTTTAATGATATTTTTTAGTTTAGATTTTAAATATAATTAGTTGCATGTAGCAGGAAATAATTAACATAACTCAGCTAAGAATTCACTTGACTTGAATACTTTCAACTTGACATTTCAAACTTTTACTTGACAAAGCTTTTTCATAGTTTGATGAAATTTGCAATTTCTTACCGAGTTTTATGGCATTTCCTGTTTAAATTGGATTCAAAGCACGTTTTTGAAGGTAATAAAGTTAAAACCACAAGCTCGGGTAGTGTTACAGATTAAAACGAAAACAAGCTTCGTTTGAAAAAGTTTTTATAAAATGTTGCATGCAATGTTTCTAAAATTCTTGTAGAAAAAATTTATTATTTATCTATTGCAATTTTTCTTTATTTAAAATTTCATTTCGTGTTTAAGGGGAGCTACTTTGACGGAATTCGTTCGATAACGCAGAAGTTGCAATCATGGTATTTTGGACGACCATTAGTAAGTTACGTCAGTCGTCTTCATTGATTAATAACATTAATATCGTTTCCTTTCAATCGTAATATTTCAGTCGCGACAGATGCTAAGGAATGAAGCACATAATTCCATGTCACATGAAGCTCGTGAACACGCAAGAAAGCAATCAAATGAGATGAGGTCGAACCTTCAGCATGATATTGATGGAAATTTACTCGTCACGATTCCGAAAACGAAGCCAATCCTTGGAATTGCAATTGAAGGTGGTGCAAATACAAAACATCCACTTCCGAGGATAATTAACATTCATGTAAATATTGAAAGCATTCAACAATGTAAACACATTCCGATTCTTTATTTTTGTTTTATATTCGGTAGGAAAATGGAGCTGCCTTTGATGCTGGCGGTCTCGAAGTTGGTCAATTAATTTTGGAAGTCGACAATCATAAAGTAGAAGGAATGCAACATCAAAACATTGCTAAATTAATAGCTGAGAGCTACACGAAATCAGATCGACACTTCATCAGTTTTCTGGTTACAGAAGCGAAGAAGTCAAACTTGGAGCCTAAGCCAACGGCCCTTATTTATCTAGAAACTGTTATCGTGATCATTCACTTTTGTCTCAATATTATTTTCTTTCTTTTATAACGAAACTGTAGTTGCTTTGAAAACATAAATTCATTACTTCGAAAAATAAAGAAATGACACAAAAACCTTTTGAAAACTTCAAATTCACTTTTAAAAAGAAAAAAAAACAGAAACAGTTTTAATTTATTTGCCTGAGTCATACTTTGACATCATTTAGATATTTACATTTAGTTAAAGTGTCTCGTAAAACAGCTTTCAGTCGCGTCATCATGCAGTGAACATTTAAATGTGATAAATGGAAAGTTTTTATACAGATGGTGTTGTGTTAGTTTCAGTTAGATTCAGTTGATAAAAAAGAACCCTGAGATGAAATTTGTCGTCTACGTCAGGTAACATTCGAGATGAGATCTTTTCTGAATATATTTTGCCTGTTTAAAAAAAGGATCATTTCCCGGCTATGATAAGCTTTATTAGGGGGCGTAACATTTACCAAAAAAATTTACCTTTTACTGCTATTCTACCTGTCATAATGCTGATGGCTTCCTTTGTCAACTTTTCTGTCCTTCTTCACTTTCGTTCGCTTTTTTATGCTTCTCAGTTTGTCTTCTCATGCTTCATTCACGATGGTTTTGGTCTCAAAGGACACTCATTGAATTATATTAAATATCTTTCTTTTTCAATTCTTTTGGCGGACTCTTTTTTGTATTTTTTAGGAATTTTTTTTTCTTTGGGAAAGGATTAAAAATTTGGATTGTAAAAAAGAGTCCTGTGATGGGATGATAAGGATGGGAAGGTGGAAGGGAAATGTTGATCCGAATATTTATCCAAAAATGACGTCAATGATATTATTCCCTTTTGAAATTCGTTTATAACATTTTCTTTTAATAAAACTTCAAGATTAACTCGTTGTAGATAATTTGAATCCCGACCATTAAAAATAAATTTTTTTCTTACGTCATTTAAGGATGTTTTGATTCACGTTGGATCTTTGGGTTTAAATTTTTTGTGTTTCATTTTTTTTGTAATTTTTTTTCTTATAAAAATAATAATAATAGTTTTAAGAGCTTTGCTTGATTTTTTTTCTCTTCTTCCTTCGTTCACAAAAGTTCATAAAATTCTTCATTTTACTCATTATTTTCTTTTCTATTTTCAGTCTAAAAAAACATTCTTTAACTTTTCTTTCCATTTAGTTTTCCTTGCATGAATTTTTAGTTTTTATAGATAATTTCTTTCCTTCTTTTTATTTCGAATAACTTTAACTTTATATGTTAGGCTTTTCTTTTAAAAAGAAGTAAGTTTATATTTGTAAAACATTTGAAAAACAAAATGTCATGTCACTTGGTGTTTTTGAAACAAACAAACAAAAAACTTTAAACAAAGAATGAAAATCGTTTCTGCTTAACTACCTACATGTTGTCTTTATGAACTCAATTAAACTTTCATACTTTAAACATATTTTTCCTGATTGTGTAATTAATCTAAAAACTATGTTTTAGTACTTTTCGGTATTTTTAAAAGTAGTTTCTGATGCAATGTTGTTTCGAAATTGAATTAAAAAAGACTTTTTTGAGTATTATTTCGTTGAAAGAAAACTCAAGAGATCACATGTAATCAAAATAACATTTCTATTGCATCTGTGGTGGTCTGATTTTTAAACATTAGCAACATTAATCTTTAACGATTAAAAGTTGTTCTGCTTCTTATAACTTTACTTTCTTGGTGTAACTTAGAAATATTGTTGCAAAAAATTGAGTTCTGTGCTGTTGTTTTCATTCTTTTCTGCGATGAAACTAAAGCATTTTTATTATAAAGCAAATTAACATTAAAAACTCTCCACCGACAGAAGCTGAAAGTTTAATAAACTTTTAACTCTTATCAATATGAAATTCAAATGCCTTTTTGTTTACTCATCTTTATGCAATGAAATGAATGCAAAGCTTGAATGAAATTTTACTTTGAAATGAAACTTTTTTTCTTTCCGATCGGAAAATTCCATTCGCTTTACATGTCATTATCGTTTCTCGCTTTTCACTCGATTTCCTTTTCTTATTTCTTTATCACCTTTCAAATTCAGTTCAATTCATTCATGAGCTGTCATGAATTTTTTCATATGCCTCTTCTGTTTTCTAATATCGTGAACTTTTGTTTACTATTATGTAGTCATAGCTATACAGATTGATAGCATAATTTATGGCTTTTCATACATATTTTTCTTTTCATCATTCATTATTCTTTTCTTCTTAAAATTGACAACCCAAACAATTTGTCATTTACTTTACTTTAATCATTTATTATTTTAGCAAAATTTTATTTGCTTTTTCTCGTCTCTACTCTTTTTCAAGACATTTCTAAATCTTTCATTAGATAATTAGTTTTGAAAAAAAAAAATTGTTTCATTAATTTTAAAAAGTTTAATTTA